AATTAATTTTGGTTAGTTTATAGTTGGCCTTCGGTATAACTGGAAATGTTTAATCATGCTTCAATTCGTATAACTAAGGAAGCAAAAACTCTAATGAATACACTAATTTTAACCAGATACATAAAACTGACAATGAATTTGAAAGATTGATTTTCTTTCATTCTCTGGCATCTTTTAATTTTCTTTACCCGCTTACCATAATTAGTTTGATGATTGGTGCTTTTTCAAACTATTAAAAGCTTCTTTTATTTTATCTCTTTACTCTTCGTGACATCATTCTTTAATCGTATTATATTCGTGATTAGTCGCCTGTCACTACGATCACTTGAACGGGAGGTCGTGCATTGTATAATTTAAGCAATTACAAATATTTTGGCCAGTTTTTTTACAACATTGTAAATGCCTTGAGCTTGGATGCTAATGTTTTAATATTAATTCTACTCACGCTTCATTAGGGCATGTATGAGTTGCAAATTACAGAATCTTCTTGAATTTATGATTTTCTTTTAGATGGCCCTATTAAATCAATCTTAATTATGGATCCTAAATGCTTGTTTGTCTTTGTAGCATAATGCCTAGATGTCTTTATGTTCACTAAAGATCATGACGACAAAAGTTACTGTTTATAATAATAAACTTTTATTGCAAATTTTCAAGAATCTACTTCACTGTTAATTCGGCCTGCGTACTCATTTGCTAATTTTCTTAACACTTTTTATGTTTAGCCCACTTCAATCCTTTATTATTTTATTGTTGTCTTTCAGACATACACACAGTATATGCAATTTTGCAGCGTCCCTTACCTAAGGCGACTCGGTGAACAAAACCCTCGCTTTCTGGCTTTTATGCGGCAGGTGGAACGCCGTCGCGAGTCAGGCCGCCAAAGTCTGTCCGACTTACTTGTGCGGCCAGTGCAACGCCTTCCCTCCGTATCACTTTTGATGGAAGGTTTGTTTCCCTTCATGAAATATTAGTAACTTAGTCGCTGACTTATTTCCGAGCTCACTTCCAAACAGGGTATAGATTTCGGTGAGGAAATTCGAGATCGATCTCACGGCGGTTTCCTCTTGGTCATCTATCACTTGGCTCTACTGGAACATTCTGGTTAACAATTTCCATTAGGCAATCTCCTTCGATTCTGGTAAAATCGTGCTAAGTTTTCATATCTCGTGACAAACATCATCGAAGCGGGGTTACTAAGTCAATAAAACGGATTATGTCCGTCATATCACAGACAAAGGGTTATCACGTCTTCACCAGCCAACTGATAGCTGGCAGAAAATTTCGCCGCCTGGTAAGTTCGACCTTCGAATCTCTCCATCACACTTTTCTTTGAAAAGGAAGTGGGCTCAGTAATTATACAAAGGCAGATTCTTCGAGGTCAGAATTCTCTTTGAATTAACTGGATGGCTTACATACACGTAATCTTTTTATCATAGCACACCTACTCTCTTTTTGAAAATATCTTTTGGTGAGAAAGCTTGCGATGTTTTAGTGCACCTGTAGGTTTCAGAAATCTTCTCTTTATTTGTATTGCCTTATTTTAAATGCCAATTTTATATATGCCTGCTTTTAATGTTTTTCTGGCACACAATATAAGCGTGCAAAATATATGCCACTAATGGATGCATTTTAAACTTAATGATAGAATAACAAGAAATGTCATTATATTCCACATCACCTGACATTATGCCATGTAGTATAGATCTAGCCTATTAACCTTCGTACATTACTTCTTTACCCTTTCAGGGATATCAAATTTCACTCCCAAGTGCCATCCTGATTACGAAGATATTAAACTGTTTGCTCGAAAACTCAATGATCTCTTGAATAGTGTCAATGATCGTCTTCGTAAGAATGAAGAACGTCTCTCTCTCTTGTCTCTCTATCATGAGATAAGTGGCGCCCCGGTTAGTATTTACTTTTGCTTATTTTATAGATATTATTTTATTTTCTCTCACAAGAAATGACAGTAGTTTTCATTATTAAATTATGCTTGAACAGTCGCATAGATAAATAGCATGATTACATTTCAGTTCCTGCATACATACCCTATATTCTTCATCCTTCTCGTATTCTATTTAAACATTCTACATTTCGAGTTCCAATTTTTCAGCCTGAAATGCTATCATCATCGCGAAGTTACATCGCGAGACTCAACGTCTTCGAGCTTGGTTCTAGCGCCTCTGGTAGTGTTACCTGCGAGCCTGTTACACTCTTCCTTCTCTCTGATAGCCTTGAAGTGGCGAAGCCTCGTAAACGTCATACTGGTGAGCCTTTGGCACATGCTATTCGAGCAGCCTTGGCCGCTGTTCAGGGTGAGTATTTTGATCCATTTCTTCATCATTTAAACTCAACTGAGCTTTTACAATCTATTGCAGTCTGCACGGGCTTTTATTGGGTTTTAGTACATTTGTAATATATATTTTATGTGAGTAGTGCCATGTGACTTGTCCTGAGATCGACAGGACGGCTTAGGTGAAAAAGTGTGGCTTAGAAGTTGTATAGTGCTCAGATGTACAAAATCAGTAGGTTGTAATGCAGGCTAAGTTTGTGTATGTGGAAATTCTGGAGGGGTACTAGTAAATGAGGAGGCTTAAATAAGGCAACCTAGGCAGTTTGTTGAAATGGCGTAGTCAATTTGCCAGGTAGGCCGATAATTAAACGCTGCGGAAACCCAACGTGAACATGGCATTTATTTTAAGTCGGTCATACTGCAGACTCACTGTTGCGAAACAAGGCTAGTCCTGCATGTGAACGCTCAATGACGCGGTCGCTGAGGGGATTTGCTCGGGGTGTAGACTTGAAATGACGGCCGTCCTTACGTGGCTTTCCAATCATGACATATGTAGAGGAGAAATGAAGTGACATATGTAGATGTGGCGTACTTTGGAGGCGGCATTCATAGAAGCACAGATGCTGTTTCAGTTACTGACACCGCGCTGTCACGGTGAGGATCTATCGGTTGTCGTTGGGACGAGCGTCGGGACTTTCCAAGGGCAATTAGTGCGACAAGACGCTGCTTGAGAACCGAGCATAGCACGCAGTGCCGGCTCTCGAGGGTCAGAATCAGTCGTCCACAAGAGGGGTGCAGTGGAGATGCCCTTTCATTTAGAACATCTTCCTGCCTAGCACTGCATAATTTGAATGTCCTCTTCTGATTGGTGCCAAGACGTTGACTTGTATTATTATGAGAGATCGCAGTATCTTAGGTCCAATAGCAGGCTTGGCGCCCCTGTTGGAGAAGTTAGGAGGATTATTCGTGCATGGTCCTTGTATTAAATGAATATAAAAACACGTGAGAAAGAGTAGAGATGGGCCATTACATACTTATCTATTTATTCGTAAAGATATGTGTATTTATTTTTAACAAATTTTGGGAGTTAATTAATGGCATTTGACTTTCTTCTGTTGTGATTTAGCTCCACTGTTGATACCGAATGCATTTCTTACTAAAGAGCCTTAGATGCACTCGGCCGAAATCTTTTTAAAGTAAAACATCAAAATATGGGTCATTTTGAGTCCCATTGTAAACAGGTCTCAACAGGTTAAGCATTTTTGGGCATTATTATCTACTTGTTATAGTCTTACCATCTTTAAACTAGAATACTATACTAATGACTTGGAAAAAGCAGGCTACAAAATTGTAACCTCAGGATGATTTTTTAAATATACTTGGTGAGCAAACGAATCTATATATATTTATGCCCTCCAAATTTTTGGTTATCACTGGCTACGCTTCCATTTTTATTCATATGAAATAAAGGTTATCCGATCTTGGATTCAGATTTTTTAAAATTAATTAATTCAATTTATGTCAAAAATGACAAAATCTCACAGGCCATAGACATTTTAATTTTACTTCCTACACTTACCAGGAAGTGAGTCTTCAGTTCCATCACACGATTTAGCTGCCTCAAATTGTGATTCTGGCACCTGCACTGACCTATCATCTGGGCCCGTTGCCTCTGGAGGATCTTTTCATCAAGGAGCCAGTTTGTCGGCAGTATCTCGTGTCTCTCGAGCTGGTTCTGGGGCATCAACCAATACAATTTCTTCTGGACTGTCATCTGCCGCAGTCAGCTTAGGTGGAGGGAGTTCTGGTGTTGTAGACAGTGGTTGTTCATCAAGTGGTGTCGGATCTGCAATGAGTCTTGGAGAGGGTGGGAAGCAGCGTGTTCAGCATCACTACAAGCATTTGCATCTCCTTAAGCTTCATGAGATCAAGCGGGTTCGTCCGTTTTCTAGTTTATTCTGCTAACCTATTGGTATTTTTTTCTCATGCCGCTCCATTCAATACATATATCTGTGTTCTCAATATGTTTTCTAAATTTTTTTAACTTAATTTATTTTAATCGAAGATATGAAGACGAAGATGGTGTGGCCTTTTGTTTGGTCGCAGTCTCCTTTCGTTGTATAGAAGTTGTTTGACCTTGTTTTCGCAACTTGGTCGTAATGGTAGGAAGACTTATAGAAACGCACCTTGTCCTGAGTCCATTGTATGCATAATTATTTCCAAAGTCAGACCGTGGACGTGGTACATTCCCAGACGTTTCGCCGGCATCGTCAGTGAGTATCTCCATTCTTAGCACCAGTGGACGTGGTACATTCCCAGACGTTTCGCCGCCATCGTAGTCGGCATCGTCAGTGAGTTTAACCATTCGTAGCACCATATTACAACTCGTCAAAGAGACAAGTGAAGCCGA